TGTGTGTGTGTGTGTGTGTGTGTGTGTGTGTGTGTGTGTGTGTGTGTGTGTGTGTGTGTGTGTGTGTGCGAGTGTGTGTGTGTTTGTGTTTAATGCTCGATGGATCTCTGCGCGATGGCATGAGACAGGAAAGATGAAGTCAGGAGAGGAACGGAGTTTGAAGGTCATAGACACTGGCACGTTACCTAGTTCACAACCACTTTCGCCGTCGTTGGGAAGACGCCCCCCGTCTTCTCGGCCTTCGCCTCGCTCACCACCTCACTGCCCCCTTCCCCTCGCTTAGACATTCACGAACACATTGACGCCACTGCGTTATCCTTTCACGGAGGTCTTTGTTGTCTATTAATTACGCACCCTGAGATCGTGCACTTCTTCGTCACGCACCACTCCTACGCTCCCCGCTCCCTGCTCCCCCCGGGCGAGCCAATCTCGTGGTGCGCTATCGCAACCTGCGCGCCGGCTACTCTGGTCCAACCTAGACAGCGTTCTTTATACCGTATCTGCTCTCCTCCCCCCCCCCCTCCCTTCTCGCTCCCCGAATTCCTTCATCCCTCCCTCCCACACTCTTTCCCCACCCTCCGCATTCTCGATCCCCCCTCCCAACCTCTGCCCGCCCCTCGCCACGTCCCTCCTCTTGACCATCGACGACTGACGCGTCAGGCGGCGGACCGCCCTGCATGGACCAGCCACCTGCGGTCCACCAGACCCCTACGTTCCGCCGAGCGCCGGCCATCACGGAAGCGCGATGGGCGAAATACAATGTCAAAGAGCTGCAGATTCTGGGACGAGGTCTCACTAGCGACGGGATAGGATAGAAACGAGTTTGTGGGGCAGTTGAGTGACCCAAATCTCTTTTTTCTTTTTTCTTTTTTTTTTTCTTCTTCTTCTTCTCTCAGTTTCACCTCACACTACCTACCTACCTACCACAATTCCTAATTCCTAATAGTAGGCATACGGGGAACCCCGTAGCAGCCAGAACAGTGTTCACGAGAGAACATGGGGGGCCTGCTCCCGACCTGCAGGTGGGCGATACCGGCTAGGGGACAGCCAGTAGCATCAGGGACCATGCCAACAGGACGAATCCTTGTGCCTCCCCTCAGGTTCCCCTCCCCTACGAACATCAGCAGACTCTGGAGGTAGTGGGTTCAATCCCATTGGGCTCATGTACCGTCCTGGGCATGCTTGGCCCCCACCACCTAGAGATAGACCACTGGATCCCCCGATCGGCATTGAGCAGAGTCTGCTGATGTTCGTAGGGGAGGGGTGACCCAAATCCTGCTGCGCAGTACTCGTGATCCCACGGTCAGTATTTTACATGTATTACCCAAAAAAGTAGGGAGATCTTTGTTCCCCTCCTCCTCTCCTTAACACTGGGCATGCCCGTGCAAAGAAAGCTTCCCGCCAGAATCTTTTCAATCGGTTGGGGGTGTGGGCAACCCCAAAAGAGGGTGGGGTTGGCCATAGGCCCACTGGAAAGAAGATTTTCAGTATTTTACTAGTTGTTGTGCAATTATCTCACAATAACCGCATGGGGCGCGGGGGCGCAGCCACGGCAGAGTGGTTGTAGTGGGGATGAAGTTTTGAGTGTTGTAATGTGTTGTTTTATAGGAGGCGAGTCATGAAGTTTCGCATCTTTTAGATTTGAAGGCAAAGGCGGAAAAGTAGGAGCTACAAAAGTTGGAGTTGCATTTTTTGGTATTCGATATTGTTATACTGACAGAGCAACGCTCTTGGGTTATAGACCCATGTTTGAATGCATTCGAGATAGATTTCAAGGCAAAGGCACAAAAGTGGGAGTGAGATATAGTAGGTAGGGGCGTCGTTCCATGATCCAGCACTGGACTTAAAAAGCTTTATTTAAAAAAAAACATGACTTTGGACCGGGCTTGAAAAAGCTAAAAAAAAAAAAAAAAAAAGCTTAAGTCTGATTGAATTTGGGGGGGAGGGAGACGAGCGGGATTGCATGGTTCTGTTCATTCTCTTTGAGCATGAATGTGCTGCCGACTCCGGAAAAGGAAATTAGGATTTGAAAATGTTTGGTCTCCTTATGTTCATTGTTACAACAACTGAGCGATTTCATGTACCAATAGTCTTTGAAGAACAGTTTCACCCGACCACGATCGTTCATATGATCGGTTTATCTTGTAGTTGCGACTGCATTATACTGATTGAGCCACGCTTTGGGATTAAGTCTAGAATTGTAGAACGTATTTTATAAGTCACCGAAGTGTTGTAGACTTCAAGGTAGAGGCAAATGATGGGGAGTGTTCATGCAAAAAAGGAAATCATAAATATATTGTCACATAATATCAGAGCGCCAAAGTGAAAAAACAGAAACAAAACAAGGAAAAGTCCTCTGGATACTCCTGATCGGTATTAGTGGAATCTATGACCAAAAACATGGGTGTGCGTGCGAGCGCGAGTGGGTTGTGTGTGGTGTGTGGGAGAGTGTTGGCCATAGCTACTGCTGCTACTGGATGAGGGGTGGGGGACGATGAGAAA